TTCTTCAGAATTACTTCAAACCCCCAAATTGTTATTGAAACTTAATGCTCACAACTGGCTTCCACTGGAAAAGTTCTAAACCTGCTGAGCAAGTGTAGGTCCTTCACATTTGTACCTGTAAGAATATGCAGCTGAAACCTAAACGTTCTTTCCTTCTTCTTTTACAGTATGATTTAGCCTAAGTATCATTTACTTCCCACCATGAAGGAGACCATAGGCAATCTATAAAGTACCCTTATAGATAGGCCTAGAATACATTATTTCACTTGTCCAAACAACCCATCTGAAGTCGGGATCCATCTTTTTAAAAAGCAAATGTACTATGTCACTGCCCAGATTGACGTGCTTCAAAAATTTTTATTGCCTTCGGATTGAATCCAAATTACTTAGCATCCCTAAAGTGCTGTATGCAAATGCATAGAATTATGAGCAAACATGGTTCTTTAGGAGAACTGAAGTAGTTTGGAGGTTGGTAAAATATGGCTTGTTATGACACTGAAGAAGTAGGCAAGGATCAAACATGAAAGACACTGTATCACAAGATTGGTGTTAGTGTCCAGGAAGAATGAAAAGAACAAAGCCACAACTGATACGTCAAGGTGCAAAGGTTGGTGTCTGTTATGATGAAATAGTATTCATTTTTAATTTATATAATTATTTTCCTCCTATTGGAGTTCCTGTTCAGGTTTGCCAGGCTGCCTGTTTATGCATGTACCTTGTATTCAACCAATTGTAAATCTCAATTTGAGTTAACCTTATAAATTGGCAATAAAAAAGTACATGTCTAGTCATTATTAATATTCTCTGCCTGTCCCTACACAACTACTTATTTGTTTTGTGTCAGGTTAGTTTATATTTCCTAAAGTTTTATATAAAGGAAATTATGTAATATGTACTTTTTGGCCTGGCTTCTTTCCCTGAACATAATTATAATGAGATTTATTCATGTTATTGCATGTATCAGTAGTTGATTGTTTTCTGTTAATGAATGGAAATTCATTGTATGGACACAACATTTCATTTATCCATTCACCTGCTGATGGATAATTAAGTTGTTTTCAATTGCTGACTATTACAAATATATCTGCTATAAACATTGGAGTACAGCTCCAAGTTCTTAAATAAACATATGCTTCTATTTCTCTTGAATAAATACCTAGAATTGGAATGGCCCAATAAACAAGTATGGGTATATTTAATTTTTTAAAAACTGCCAAACTATTTTCTAAAGTAGTTTGCCATTTTCATAATTCTACTTGTGGTGTCGCCTGGTGCCCCACATGGTCATCAACACTTAGTATGGCTCATTATTTTTTGCAATTTTAGACATTCTAAGAGGTATGTAGGGGTATCTCATTGTGGATCTAATTTGTATTTTCCTAATCATTATGATGTTGTATATTTTTTCATGTGCTTGTTTACCATATGTATATCTTCTCTGGGACAGTGTTCAAGTTATTTGCCCATTTATATGGGTTTCTTATTAGTGAGTTGTGATAGTTCATTATAGATTTTGGATATAAGTTCAGTATTATACATATTTGTTTTAATTATTTTTTCTTAGTCCGTGGCTTGTCTTTTTAAATTCTTTTAAAAATGTTTTCAAAGGGCAATATTTTAAAATTTTCATGAAGTTTAATTTATCAGTTTTCTTTAATAGATCAGGAGTTTAGTGTTATATCCAAGATAATTTTGCCAAACTTAAAGTCATAGTGATTTCTTGTATGTTTTCTCATAGAAAGGTTAATAATTTTAGAATTTACATTTGTTCTATGGCCAAGATAGGTAGTTTTTGTATTTGGAATGAGTGTGGACTAAGTTAAGATTTTTTGGCATATGGATGTCCAGTTGTTTCAGTTCCATTCATTGAAAAGCCTGTTGTTTATCTACTGAGTCACCTTTGGTCCTTTGGAAAAAATAAATATATATGTCTGTCTCTGAGCTCTCTATTCTCTTCCAGTAATATCTTTGTCTAAGTATAATGCCACCCTGTCTTTGTTACTATAGCTTTATAATAACTTTTGAAATCAGACAGTGTTTTTCTTCCTACATTGTTTTACTTTTTCAAAATTGTTTGGATATTGTATGTCTTTGCAGATCCATATGAATTTTAGATCTCCCTCTCAATTTCTAAAAAGAAACAAAACCCTAAGAATTTGATTGAGATCGTGGTTAGTTTGTAGATCCTTTTGGTGAAAACTGTCTTCTTCACAATATTTAGTCTTCCAGCCTAGGAGAAGGCATATCTTTCTGTTTATTCAGATCTTCTTTAATTTCTCTCTGCAATGTTATACAGATTTCACTGTACAAGTCTAGTCTATGTTTTGTCATATGCAAATGTATTCCTATTTTTGATGCTGTTGCAAACTATATTGTTTTTGAACCTCAATTTCTAAGAGTTTATTGCTAGTATATAGAAATATGATTATTTTTATATATTCATCTTGTGTCCTGAAACATTATGAAACCCATTAGTTCTGGTAGCTTATTTGTAGATTCTATTGATTTTTCTACATGAACAAGCATATTAACTGTACACAAATTAGTTTTACGTCTTCCTTTATTAGGCTGTTCACCATTATTTTCTTTATTGCTTGATTCCACTCTCTAGAACTGCTAGTGCAACGTTAAATAGAGTTAAAATAGACATTCTTCTTTTGATTCTGAACATAGGGAAAAAGCATCTGGTCTTCCATGAATAAATATGATGTTAACCATAATTTTCCCAACAATAATCTTTGTCAGGTTAAGAAAGTTATCTTTCATTCAAAGTTCTCTTTGAGAGTTTTCATCTGGAGTGGATGTTTGGCTTTGTAAAATCTTTTTCTTTATCTATTAACATCATCATCTGTTTGCTTTTAAAACATGTTTTAATATAATGAATTATACTGATCTATTTTGAATGTTAAGCCAAGCCTGCACTGGTTTTGAATTGATTTCATTTTGTTAAAAAATTGCACATCTCTGTTTGTTAAGTGTATTGGTTTGTAGTTTTATTTTCTTTTAATGTCTTTGTGTATTTTTTGTCCTCAGGGAGATATTGGCCTCAGAGAAGGAGAGATACCCTCTTTACATTTTTCTGAATAAATCAGGGTAGAATTCATATGACTTCATTTTAAAATGCTTGGTAGAATTTTCTAATGAAATCATCTGAGCCTAGAGTTTTCTTTCTTATTCTTCTTCTTCCTCCTCCTCCTCCTCCTCTTCTTCTTCTTTATTTTTTGAGATGGAGTCTCACTCTGATGCCATGCTAGAGTGCAGTGACGTGATTTCAGCTCACAGCAACCTCCACCTCCTGGGTTCAAGCAGTTCTCCTACCTCAGCCTCCGGATTAGCTGGGATTACAGACCTGCGCCACCATACCCAGCTGAACCTAGAGTTTTCTTTGTGAAAAGCTTTAACTTATAAATTCAGTTTATGTTGCCCATTTCTTCTTGAGTGGGCTTTGGTACTTTGTGTTATTTGCTGCATAAACTTTTAGGATTGTTATGCCCTTTTGACACATTGATGCCTTTATCATTATGAAATTATATTTTGTATCCCTGGTAATATCCTTTGTTTAGAAACCTACTTTGTCTAATTCTAATATAGTCACTGAAGCTTTATTTTTATATTATTAGCATGGTATATATTTTTAAATCTTCTATTTTTTGACTTATATCTGTCTTTGTATTTAAAATTTATGTATTCTATGCAGTATATTGTTGGGTCTTTTTCAAAAAAAATCAATACAACAATCTGGCCATTTATATTTAGAGTGATTATTGATTTGATTTGTTGTTCATCTGCAAATTGCACTAAGTTGTAAGAAAGTTGTGGAAAGAATTAGTGATCTTCACACAGGAAACTCATCAAATGATAAAACAAGTTAATTATTAACTTCAGGATTATCAAAAGTTTGTATAGGAAAAGAAATTATTGTGCAATATTTGGCAGAGTAAGAATAACATTTACATAGTCATAGTAATTTAAACACAGAATATTTAATTTACCCTTTGTGGGAAAGAGGCAGTGCAGGGAAGAGGCTGGATTTTGAGGTTAAATCTTCTGTTTTCAAATAAAAAGGTATGGCCAAACCTCACTAACAAATAAAGCAGAATAAAAATACTATATATATGAAAGGAGATGCCAGAGAAACAGGTAAAATAGTTAAATGCAATTGTTTTGAAGATCAAACAGGGCAAGGGCATAGTATAAGCCTGCCACTTAGAACACACTGACTTTTTAAACTGTGTGCAAGTATTAGTTTGGCAAACAATTTTTTAATCATTTAAAATATTTTGGAAGTTATTTAAAGAAATAAAGGGGGAAATGTGGTCCACAGAAGTAACAGGAGAAATAATAATGAATTCTTTATTACAGCAGCACTTATATCCACAACTGAATTACTCAAACCCTTTGTAAGGGGGAATTTCTGCTGGGATTTTTTATTTGCATTGACAACCTTAATGTTTTATTCTGGATGGAGTCTTTCCGGGCCCTGTGACATGTTGAACACCTTACAGAGGTCAGAGGCATATGTAGCAAGGGCCGTCCAGATTCTAAGAGGAAAAAGGGAATTAGGGACCTCTCAGAACAAATGAGGGATAAAGGAAGGCCAGTAGCTCAAATAAATGATAAACTGAATTAAAAATTCTTCATTGAATAGGTTAAACCTCAAAGCCATCATGCTTCATTGTCACCTGCTGTAAAAAGATCACACTAGGTGAGATCAGCCCTTTGAGTTGGAGTTGTGTGTATGAGAGAGGAAGGGGGAAAGAAAGGAAAAGCCAATTTCTCTAGGTCCAATTTCTATTCTTAGATAAGCCACCTCTTTTAACTGTACTTAATTACTTCTTTTTTTTCATTTCAAGTATTTACTACAGGGCCCTCAGGGAAACTGAGAGTTTCCTTCATGGGTACACAGTGATATTTGATACAGAATTTTAATGTATTACAGTTGATAAGTCAAAGAGCCCAATAAGTTACACCCTCCACAAAGACTTATTCGGAACAAGTCCTGAAGATTTTTGCCTAATTAAATAAGAACAGAGCTGTGTGTAGTGATTTTCTGCTGCACATAATGAAATCTTACAAGCAACCTGAGCGATAAGGTTGGGGCAAGGGCTTCCAGAGACTGGGATTCATTGACACCTCACTGAAACCCATGTCCTACTTCTAAATGTGTGTAAATGGGGAGACTGGGTTTGCTACATGTGATTTTGCTTTATAAGCAACCTTAATGGAGATAGAAGAATATCTGAAAGACCTTTTTATCATTACAAGAAGTAATAGCAAAACAGGTCATGAGAGCAAGGGCACAGTCAGGAGCTTCTGCTTCGGGAAAACTCACATTGTAACAGTGTTCCTTTAGAGATGGGAATGAGCTATTTTGAGCTCTTTGATTTTCTATGAAAAAAAGGAGAATACTTTTGAACATGCAATATACATCTCTCTCTTTTAAAGTTGCCTGTCTGAAGAGAATGCCTTAGAGAGAAGACTGTACCAGAGAGACCTCCTAGTAATTCCTAGAAGGTCACTGGAAAACTGATTTGCATGGCTCAAGATGCATGTGGAAGATGTGGGCTTGATTCAGATTGTCACCATTGCCCTACAGTTACAGCATATTCTCTTCCTTATAAGAGTTCTCTAGACCTCTCATATTGAAGGGTTGAGTAAACCTATCACATCTAAGTGTTAATGACAAATTTTGTTGTCACCTCATTCATGGGTTGAGTGTTTAATTTAGAACCAGAGAGAAGGCCAGGGCATATTGAATTTCCTGCCCTGATTTATGGGAGGTTGTCTTGGGTCAGAAGGTTCTGCCCAGTTCTCAACACATCTGAGATTTTATATTTATATTTTATATTTGCAAATTCTGACAGTGCACACAAAGGTGGTTCCCAAAATTAACTACTATGGTGCTTGTCTTATGGTAGGTATTTAGAATACTTTTAAAATGTAAACTTAACAGAAATAACTATTTTAGAAAGTTAAACAGAATGCTTAGGGGAGTAGGATGACATGTCTTTTTTGCATCAACTAGACAAGTTTTCTTGAAGAATCAAGTTTAGAGTTTAGATTCAAGTTTAGGCACAAGAGTCACACTTAATGAGGAGCACAGAGGGACAAATCTAGACACAGGGAATATTTTGAGCAAAAATTCAGAAGCAGGATAGGTGACCCTTGCAACATAACTGTCATATAATACTCAGGGCCAGCATTTTACAACCTCAAAGAAGATGTCATAAATACTGATGATTTGGCAGCACAAGCAGCCCCAAGTGGCCTGTTCAAGGTCTATGTTACTTCAGATCTCCTTCTCTTGTCACTCTCTGCCTCACTCATTCAATTTACAGGCAGCAATAAGTCATTCCTCATCCCCCTCTACACCCTAGGTAAGTGGCCCTATGACCTTCTTAGGGGTGGAAATCAAAATCAGAGAGATGAATTTAAAAAACAACAAAATTACATATATTTTTAGTTAAATGTCAGGTTGATAGCTTTATGCTATTTAAATAGATTTACAATCTTCCAAATAGATTATGGCAATTTCCCCAAAACAAAGAACACATGACAGACTCCAGAAATTCTATTCTTCAGCATAAGATAAAAAAGAAATAGATCTTGTCATTATACATGGATGAAAGTGCAATAAAAATAAGTGATTTGATCATCCTACCAAGTGGCATTGAGACAAAAATCTTCTTTATTATGTGTGATATGGGATTTGATGACGAGGATTATAAAATGAAGACCACAAATCAGCATGAAGTATAATGTGTGATATATAACCTTGTCCCTGGGAATATCTCTAATCGTCTCTTGAACCAAAGTTAAGAATTGGGTAAAATTTAATTAAAAGAAATTATAATTTGTATTACACTTTTGAAAGTTAATACAACTAGCTCTTAGTACCTGTAGGTGTTAGAAAACTTGCTGCAGTCAACTCTGCCTCTTAGAAAAAGCCAATGAGTCAACCAGCTCTTTGCCCTCTGCGAGTTGCAGTGTCATGGAAACAAAGACTTGATCCACAAAGCCAGCCAGGTCATTTAAAATATGCACCCTTTCAAAGAAAAGACATACAAAGACTGTTTTATAGTTTCAGATATTTTTATAAGCAGGAGATTATTTAAACTTGACCTAGTTTTTTTCTGACATAACAAACTGTCAGCAATAGCCATAATAATAGAGGCAAAACTACTTTTATTCCTTGCTGCATCAGAAAAAATCAGACTATTTGGTCTTTTGCTTTTCTTTTACATATTAACAATTTCAGCAGTTAATAGGTTGGCTGTACATTAGTTCTGTTATGCAAAATTAGGAACTTGTTTTGAAGTCAGATTTATATCGGCTCCTAAGTACATAAGCCCCATGAACTCAAAGGAGAGAGTGGAGAAATTGTGATTGTAGAGAAAACAGCATTTGATCCAGCTTCATGAGACTTGAATTCAGAGTCATAGAACTGAGGGAGATCTCAGAGACCATCTGGTGCTAGCCACATCCCACATTTTACAAAAAAAGGAAACAAAAATTCTGAGAGACTAAAGTGGGGAAGATGGAGTTAGCACCCTCCCACTCAATTTGGTGTTTCTGTCCATGAAGAATTCTGTTTCCCTGGATCAGTCAGATACCTTTCTCAGAGATTTCACTGTAAACTCAGGGATGGAGGAGACTAAATTCATGCACTGTAAGGGTTAAGGTACAGCAATTTCCACATTGTGTACTACAAGGGGCATATATAAAAATTAGAAGGAGTGCTCAATTTAGGAAACTGAATTCAAATTAAAGCAACACCAACATGAACAATGTACCTATGTGTGGCCATTCTTCAACCAGTCCTCACCACCCAGTGAACAAATAATATATCCACCAGCCATACTTCTTCCTGGAGCTACAGAACCTCCCCTTAATTTTTCACGGTACCTTCAAGATCTACACATATGTCTCTTTCCAGTTATGAAAAGCTCCACAAAGTTATACTACAACACACACCTCTTTCCAGTTTACACTGTCCCATATGATCCTTTAGTGTCTCCCATCTTTTTCTTTTGAAACTAAATAAACAAAACCACAGACAAGGTATCAGTATGCTGTTAAAAGTGAAAATCAAATAAGCAAAGTGTACTGACCTTCTACTTAGTGGTGAAGACATATCCAACTTATTGAAATCATAAATTATAAATACGATTATCTATTGCGTAAAATATGTTTTACAGATATGATCACAATAAATTTTAACAACAGGTGAGCGAAGTAGGTTCATTTTTTTATAGATAAATAAACTAAATCTCAGAATGGTAAAGACTTCCTCAAATTCACCCACCCCAAAAATGTAGAAGTCCATTTTCAATCCCAGATCTTTTTTTTAGTTCAGTGTTTACCCACTAAACCATAGTTATTTTTCTAATAAGAGTAGGTGAATAGCACACCTATAGAACACTATCTAATACAATGAAGTGAATTCTTTAGTCTTGTTTGCTTCTACAATAGTGGATATAAATATAAGATTTAAATTGGGAGATCAAAAGTACTTCAACAATGGTGGATATAAATGTAAGATTTAAATCAGGGGATCAAAAGTAATGGCATTTGTAGGTTTTCTATATGTCATACTGAATAAACACAGTGTCAGTATTTCATGACGTGGCAGGAGGCACACCAACATACAATTTTATGCAATATTTTAGTTTCTGATATCCTATATAATTTATATTCTGTTATATTAAGAAATATTCTTTTATAAATGATTTTACTGATTCCATTTTCTTCCTGATTTTTCACATGAGGAATTCTGACTAGGAAATTTGGAAAGGCTTCACTCAGGAAGTAAAATTTCAGTTGGCATTTGAAGAATATTTAATTGCTTGTATTTCAACCTATTACATTAATTTTTTTGTCCCTTTCCCCAGGTCAAGCTCTGCAAAACAGAATTTTGTAAAAACAAAACAAACAAAAAACTGAACCAAAATCTACCTTTAGTAGAATCAAAAAATATGTTATTTGCAATATCAATATTTTAAATACATCTTTGATCAAGAAGCATATTCTATTATAAAAATATTAAAACCGCATTGAGATACCATCTCATGCCAGTTAGAATGGTGATCATTAAAAAATCTGGAGACAACAGATGCTGGAGAGGATGTGGAGAAATAGGAACACCTTTACACTGTTGGTGGGAGTGTAAATTAGTTCAACCACTGTGAAAGGCAGTATGGCAACTCCTCAAGGACCTAGAAATAGAAATTCCACTTGACCCAGCAATCCCATTACTGGGTATATACCCAGAGAATTATAAATTGTTCTATTATAAAGACACAAGCACATGAATGTTCATTGTGGCACTATTTACAACAGCAAAGACCTGGAACCAACCCAAATGTCCATCGATGATAGAATGGACAAGGAAAATGTGATACATATACACCATGGAATACTATGCAGCCATAAAAAAACAATGAGTTTGTGTCCTTTGATGGAACATGGATGAATCTGGAAACCATCATTCTTAGCAAACTGACACAAGAACAGAAAATCAAACACTGCATGTTCTCACTCATAGGCGGGTGTTGAACAATGAGAACACATTGACACAGGGAGGGGAGCATCACACACTGAGGTCTGTTGGGTGGACTAAAGGAGGGACAGCAGCGGGGTCGGGAGGTTGGGGAGAGAAAACATGGGGAGAAATGCCAGATACAGATGATAGGGGATGGAGGCAGCAAACCACATTGCCATGTATGTTCTGCACATGTACCCCAGAACCTAAAGTACAATAAAAAAAGACAAAAAAATATGAATCTCTGTGTGCTGATCCCTTTCTTAAGAGGAATCATGCAGGATTGTTGCATTGGTACAAACATGGCAATGGGCACGATGGCTTACGCCTGTAATCCCAGCACTTTGGGAGGCCAAGGCAGGTGCATCACGAGGTCAAGAGATCGAGACCATCCTGGTCAACATGGTGAAACCCCGTCTCTACTAAAAATACAAAAAATTAGCTGGGCGTGGTGGCACATGCCTGTAATCCCAGCTACTCAGGAGGCTGAGGCAGGAGAATTGCCTGAACCCAGGAGGCGGAGGTTGCAGTGAGCCAAGATCACGCCATTGCACTCCAGCCTGGGTAACAAGAGCAAAACTCCATCTCAAAAAAAAAAAAAAGAAAGAAAGGCGGGGGGACACATCTGTATTATTTGAGACTTTGAATATAAATAGAACATTCAGATGAGGAATAAGACACTAAAGCAGATTTTTTTTTGTATCAAAACTATACACCAACTTGGAAGTGGCTTCCATGTAATTAGTTGAGGATTTATTTATCTATTTAGATGTTTATTTTGTTTTAAAATCATAAATTAATCAGGATCCTTAATGGAAGCTAGTCCAGGCACATAAAATACAACCTGCAAAAGAGAAATAAGAATCAAAAAGTAAATAAAGAAGACATCGCTAGATTCTACTAACTTTAAAGCCCCTAAACATTTCTTTCCTGATGATGATCTGACTCTTTGGCCCATTTTGTTTCAGTAAGAGCTGAACGAAATTAACTGCACCAACCACCTTGCTCTGATCTCAGGTTTATGCTAGTTTATGGTTTTTGATTGTGTGTTTCTTCACTCTCAGATCTCCCTCTCTTGATGTCTCTAAACCTGAGTGGGTTTCTAACTCCGAGTTGCATCCTTTGTATGACAATTTCATTTCAGGAATCTTGACCCTGGCTTGTGTCTAGATTCATTAGATCAATCCTAGTGAGATTGATAACAGAAATCTCATAGCAAAGAACAGTACCTGTCTGCTATGATGTGTGTCCCCAAACAATTTATTTGTTGGAAACTTGATCCTCAATGCAATGTTGTTGGGAGGTGGGACCAAATGGAATGTCCTTGGGTTGTAGAGGGACCATATGCTTGAATGGATTCATGCCATTACTGCAACCATTGGTTCATATTTTTGGAAGTAGCTGTTCTCTTTCTCCCTTGTCATATCTTCGCCATGATATAATACAACAAGAAAGTCCTCACCAGATGCCTGTCCTTTGATTTTGAACTTCTGAGCCTCCAGAACTATAAGAGAAAAATTTCTCTTCTGTATAAGTTACCTAGTCTCAGGTGTCCTGTTATAGCAGCCCAAATGAACTAAGTCACTCTCTTTCCCTAACTGTTCCAATACAGCTGGCAATTATATTTCTAACTCTCAAAGCAGTTAGGCAAAGCTTTCACATTTTCTGTGAAATATTTACTATATGATGTTTACTGCTGAAATGTTTACTGTGTTACTAAAATGATATAGAGCATAACAGGTATTCAGTTAAAAACCGGAAACAGGTTAGTTTTTTTAGAAACTTGGTATTTGATTACTATGTGGTAACCATTCTAATCAATATGGTCATTATTTTAGCATTTAACTAAATTATTCTCCAAATATGTTTATTGTGTAACTACTAGGGGAGTTTTTTTTTTTTTCATGTGTTTTGTTAAACCCTTAAGGGAAAGGTAGATATAGGTTTGAAAGTACACAGAACATGAACTCTAAACTTCAAAGCGTTTAAAGTCTGTCAAGATAACAGCCATGAAAACAAATCAAGTACAATTCAAAATTAAATAAAATAAAAAAAGTGAAACCAGAATATCAGAGGCAGACAGATGAAAACATAGTTAATTTAGAAGTTTATGGTGTATTTAATCAAGGAAGTGGCATTTGAGTTCAAATTTAGAGAATGAAAATCATTTAACAACAGTGTGAAGATGTTGAAATACATCATGCATTTAGTGAGGGGCTAACTGGAACCGGACAGAGAGCTTTGGGGCTGTAGTAAGAAATATGTCAGAACTGAATTTCACCTCGGTGCTAACTCTTTCGGACACAAAACAATGAGAATGAATGGCCTGCTTTGTGGGGTATACAGTACACCAGGGAGTATCTATTACATTGAACCCAGTCCTGTCCTTTTCTGGCAAACCATAAATTGCAAACACTTATAGAAAAGAATTGTAATCCAGGAACTCCCTTGGGGTTGCTTGCTCCCTTCTCAAATGTGCAGGCATTCCTAACTGACAAAGAAATCGGAAGTTTGGTCTCAGTCTTCAGCCTAGATATTTTCTGGTACATCTTTGTCTGACTGGTAGGTAATCCTGCTGTGCTTGCTCCCCTGCAGGTGCACTCTACATGACCTATCAACCCTTATGCAAAAAAGTAACTAAAAAAGTAACAATAAATTTTTTTTTTTTTTTTTTTTTTTTTTGGAGACAGAGTCTCGGTCTGTTGCCAGACGCCAGGCTGGAGTGCAGTGGCACGATCTCGGCTCACTGCAACCTCCGCCTCTCAGGTTCAAGCAATTCTCCTGCCTCAGCCTCCCAAGTAGCTGGAACTAAAGGTGCACGCCACCACGCCCAGCCAATTTTTGTATTTTTAGTAGAGACGGGATTTCACCATGTTGGCCAGGATGGTCTCGATTCTTGATCTTGTGATCCGCCCACCTCGGCCTCCCAAAGTGCTGGGATTACAGGTGTGAGTCACCGCGCTCAGGAAGAATGAAATTTTTATTATTATTATTATTTGAGAAGGAGTCTTGTTCTATAACTCAGGCTGAAGTACAGTGGCCTGATCTCAGCTCACTGCAACCTCTGCCTCCCAGGTTCAAGCAATTCTTTCCCCTCAGCTTCCCAAGTAGATAGGACTACATGTACACACCACCACACCTGGCTACATTTTTATATTTTTAATAGAGATGGGGTTTCACCATGTTGGCCAGGCTGGTCTCAAACTCCTGACCTCAGGTGATCTGCCCACCTGGGCCTCCCAAAGTGCTGGGATTATAGACATGAGCCACCTATATTTGCCCAGCCATGCATGGCCAAAATTAATATTATAGTACAAAAAGAAAGATACAACAAATGAATATTTTAATTAATATATATAGTAAAATTCTATCTACATACTGATTTGTCACAGTAATGACTAACATTACAATTCAGCACAATTAAATAACCAATATGAGCACAAGTATTTTTTTTAATTATACTTTAAGTTCTGACATACATGTGCAGAATGTGCAGGTTTGTTACAGAGGTATACACGTGCCATGGTGGTTTGCTGTACTCATCAACCCATCATCTACATCAGGTATTTCTCCTAAGGCTATCCCTCCCTTAGCTCCCAACCCCCTGACAAATTTTGGTATGTGATATTCCCCTTCCTGTGTTCATGTGCTCTCATTGTTCAACTCCTGCTTATGAGTGGGAACATGCAGTATTTGGTTTCTGTTCTTGTGTTAGTTTGCTGAGAATGATGGTTTCCAGCTTCATCCATGTCCCTGCAAAGGACAGGAACTCATAATTTTTTATGACTGCATAGTATTCCATGGTGTGTATGTGCCATATTTTCTTTATTCAGTCCTATCACTGATGGGCATTTCGGTTGGTTCCAAGTCTTCCCTATTGTGAACAAGAGCACAAGTAATTTTTCAAAAGAATGTTTCTATTTTAAAAACATTCCAAGTTAATAAAGTGGTTTTTGTTTTGTTTCATTTTTGAGACAGAGTCTCTCTCTGTTGCTCAGGCTGGAGTGCAGTGGTGTGACCTCAGCTCACTGCAACCTCTGCCTCCTAGGTTCAAGTGATTCTTGAGCCTTAGCCTCTTGAGTAGCTGGGACTGCAGGCATGCGCCACCACACCTGGCTAATTTTTGGATTTTTAGTAGAGATGGGGTTTAAGCATGTTGGCCAGGCTGGTCTTAAGCTCCTGACCTCAAGTCGTCTGCCCACCCTGGCCACCCAAAGTGTTGGGATTACAGGCATGAGCCAACACATGGCCAAAATTAATGTTATAGTGCAAAAAAGAAAGATACAGCAAATGAACATTTTAGTTACATTTATGTGTGTGTGTGTGTGTGTGTGTATGTAGTAAAATTCTATCTATAGATTAATTTGTCACAGTAATGAATAACATTACAATTTAACACAATTAAATAACCGGAGCACAAATAATATTTAAAATAATGTTTCTATTTTTTAAATATTATTCAAAATTAATAAGATGTTTTTTGCTTTGTTTTGTTTTGAAGGTGGAATCTCTCTCTGTTGCTCAGGCTGCAGTGCAGTGGTGCAATCTCAGCTCACTTCAACCTCTACCTACTGGGTTCAAGCAATTCTCGTTTCTCAGCTTTCTGAGCAGCTGGGACTGTAGGTGTATGCCACCACATCCAGCTAATTTTTGTATTTTCAGTAGAGATGGGATTTCAGCATATCGGCCAGAATGGTCTTGAGCTCCTGACCTCAAGTGATCCACTCCCCTGGCCTCCCAAAGTGCTGTGATTACAGGCATGAGCCACTGTGCCCAGCCTTAAAGTTAATAAAATTAATAAAGTGTTTTATGAGTAAACCAAAATTTATATTTACCAAACAAAAATATTATCCCTTGCAGTTTGCACCTGTTTCACTGTTTTAAATTTTAAACACAAATACAAACTCCAAGGGGTCACAATGAATGACAGAAATAAAATAACTTTTGTTCTGTTTCTTTGCCGCTATGATCACTGTGCTGTAATCTACCATTTAAATGCAGGAATTTGTTGTACCACAAGGGCTGGAGACACAAACCACACTTGAAGTGAGTGTCAACCATTACATACTATTAGGAAGTTACTCTCAAGTATGAATCCCTGAAGCCACGACTGTCTGTCAGGTGGCAACTGTATAAGTAAGAATTTTCCAAATTAATATTATGGAATCCTTTGCTGAAGGATAAGTAATAATAATATGCTAATTTGAAGCCTATTATGTATTTTTAATACTCCAAAAGAACTTAGACTAACAAAATATTTTTTCACAATATTTTATCACTGATACTCTTTAGAATTGTCAAGTGCCTAGTAATAATTTTAAAAACTGACTTTTGGTCAGTTTTATTACTGTTTTAAAATTTTTACGCCAAATGTTTCTCCTTATTATCTGCACCCAGGGAGACAGCCCCTATTGACACTGCTCTAGCTAAATGGCTACTGAGCTGTAGAAATTTTGATACTCTCCTGAACTATGCAGAATAGAGCACAAGGGATATTGAGAGAACTTGAGATATGCACCCAGGAATATTAATACTACCTGTGCATATTAAGACTGTCAACTTCTTTTCATTTGGGGAGTCAAATAGATGCCACAGCACTTAGCTTGACTCAAGTCATTTGGAATGACTCCACCTGGGAAAGCATTTTGTTGGGGAGAGGACTCCAGGAGAAAAGGTGAAGATGTGCTACAGGAAGCAAGAGATCAGTAAATCAGCCAGAGAAAATAACACCCATACTGAGGAAGAGCACAGCATGGAGGTTCTCAGAAGGAGATCTCTAGAGAGATGCTCTGTGGAAGACTGGGTATTTTTTTACCTACCATGATATGACAGTCCCCAAGAAGGAGTCACAAGCCACACTGGCTAAATAAGAAGACATTACTCCTTTCCTTCTTCTTTCTCCGCTTTCCTGCCTCTCCTCTCCCAAACTTGGAGAAGGCAGAGGAATAGTATAGTACATGGAAGAGAAAGAGGAGAAAGATGAAAGTCAAAATTAAAACCTACCTTCATCTTTACTGCTGTTCTCCAATCTATGAATCAAACCTGAGCTCTAAAAAGATAATAATCTCAGAATATATTTAAAGTAGCCTGAGAGTTTATTAAAACTGCATCTGTTTTTTATACCTAAAATTATAACATTAGCCAAGTGCTGACAGATCTTAATGGAACCTATTTCAAAGCAATGAAAGAGAAAAATGAAGTGTGTACTGCTGAGCTCAGCCCATCAACAAAACTGATTATAGTATAATCCCACCCATAAACTAAACTAGTCTCTCAATGAATGATATAGGAGGCTGGCAAACCTTGTCTGATCCCTTAAGACCATTATACATCTTTGACTTTATTTATAATGCTTGCAGACATGAAAGATCTTCCTGCTTCAAGTTCCTTGATCTCTGCTCCACCAACAAAACCTCTTATTTTTTTAATTTTAATGAAGAACTTCCAGCTGTCTTACAATCAGATTTGGAAAATATACAACTCTACAGTCTTCTAGCTCTATGCTCACTTCCTTAATTATTCTAAAAGCTCCAGAACCCATTTAAAATGGCCTCTGGGGAAGGGAAAGAACACTGAATTTCTTTCTCTCCCCTTACTCTTTCTACAGAGTCTTCCTTTCCCAATTCACCCCACACATAGCCCCATGTGGGGAAGAGAGTCACTCCAGGTTCCCTTTGCTATCTGTTTTCTTTAGTACAAGCCCTTTAGGGGCTTAGGTTCAATGCCAGGCTTGCTCCATCAGGCTACTGCCACTAAGCACTCAGCCCACTTTCTCTTCCCTGCTTATTAGCACTTTGCTTAAGCTCCTGTTAGTAATTTCCTTTCCTATATTGTGACACCTGGAGTGTTTTTAAATTATCTCAAGGAGTATCATGTAATTCTCAAATATTCTCTAAGCCAAATCAAATTTTAAATCACTTTAAATAACAAACCTATGCTTCACAGCATTGTAATGGGGGTAATATACTGTTCACACAGTTTGGGGGAATGATCCAAGGGTGGATACTGACTTGTTCATATTGTTGTTTCTTCCACTTTACCAAAAACCTCACGATGTGTGATGAACACGTTCAAATGTTGCAGGAAGGGGGATGTATGATGCTTTTAGTGCTGTGAAGATGAATAATAACAGAGTGAGTACACATAGAGCCAGAAAGGATCAATAAGACTTTTGTCAAATCATGGAAAATCTTTCAAAATTAGATATAAACTTTCTACCTTATAACTTTTTAAACTTAGCACTTTATACTTATGAGGTGCTGTTCGAGGGGCTTTGTGGACATTATTGTATTTAGTATGCACAACAGCCTTATGATGCACACACAGTAATTACCCTTACTTGCCGATGAAGAAGCAGGCCTAGAATAGTAAACCTTAGTAATAGTAAATACTGAATTCTGACCTTAGAGATCTTTCTATAATATGATACCTTTTTTAAAGCAACAAAGCAAAAATGCTTCTGGTGAGCCTATCTTCCTTAGTGGGGGATGGGGAAGATTGTGCAACTTGTACCCTTTATTTAGCAAGTTCTATATATCAGCAACTTTACCTATGCAATTTCTGAGCATCTCAACTGTCCTGTAGTGAAGCAAGACTGTGACAGAGCCAGCTCACATCAGCTTGTGAGAGTTGATTGTTATATTTTCAGAACTTTTTGATCTTGTTAGTAAACATCCTTATTAAAAGTTAAGTTCTATCAACTCACATTAAAAATAAATTGCATTAAGAACACAGGCAATAAATTTCTAAAACCAATGTTTCCTAATTATTTTAGGACATTTTATATAAATTATGCTCTTGAGTCCCTATACTTTTTGTATCTATGTAGTGGAAACATGCAATGGTGTGCTACTGCACTTCTCTTCCCAACTCTGTGTTTAGTGACATCATATAGGGAGCATCAAATTGACCACGATGAGAGTCTTTATATCATAGAAACCAGCCATACTAAAAAGAGCTTGATATACATTAGCCTATTTTTCATTAAAACAGGAAACAGCTGACCATTTCTTGCTTCTAAGTTTCAGTAGCTATTATACCATGAATAGGACAAAAAATTTAGAAAACATTCTTTCAGTATTTGATAACTATTATTAGATTCAATAAAGAATTCATTCACATCATTGATGAATGAGTGAAATTCCAGCATGTCTTCACTGTTTCATTTTTGTCTTATTAACATAAATAAAATCATCAACCAACATTCACATCAGAACTACATTCACTTGTCAATGACACGAAGAATTTCTTTGCTGAATTGGATAGTAATCAAGCATTTCTTCATAGTACATATTGTGATGCTGTGTTGGATTATAAAATGATAGTGGATTTATATAGAAATGGCAAATCACATGGAAATTACTATGGTTGGGTACATTTTGCAAAATATAATATTGCATATATTGTTATTTGTAAAGTATCTATATAAAATTTTATAATAAAGTTATAATAGGTATAAATATGCAAACATCTTCCTGAAAGAGTCAATTGTTAATTATTTACCAGCACATCACTGGTATGAGTATTATCATCTGCATCTTACAGAGTAGAATACTGGGGCTCAGAAATTGTAGTTACCTGCCCAAGGTTGAACCACTAGTAAGTGCAAGAGATATGACTGACTAGAACTCAGGATTGCCTGAATATAGCACATACTCTTTTATTCAATGTTTGACTTAGGGTTGACACCTAAATTTGTTATGTGACTTTGCCTTCACTTTTAGATTTGGATCTGCAAAGGCAGTTAGAATTGCATTGCCTCTCTCTTCCAGACTGCAGGCATTCAACTTCAGGTGAAAGGCAGTTACCACCTCATATAGGTGTGTTTGGATGCTTGACTTTCCTTGTGTGCCCTGTCCCTACCATCACCACAAGAACAGGAGAGAATAAAATGACTGTGTGAAAAGGGATTATATGTGAAAATAAAGAGAGACTGATGTTCAAATCTTCATTTGACTGTATAATGTATAATTTTACATTTCAGTTTCCTGTCTTTTAGAATTGTTGTCTTAAACATCACATGTGAAAGCCCTTTACATACAGCTGTGTACAGGTAAGAGGAGCCATAAATTCAGATGCTTCCAGAGACTAAGAGAATGAAACTGACATAATGTCAGGTAACAGTAAGTGCTGGGGACAGGGTGGACTGGAGAGTTTATAATTGCGGCTTCCAAATTAACTTCCCTGCAGAACGGATTGAAGCTGGAGTCTTCTGTGACTGACATAAGGCCAAGAAGAGAGCAAAGTAGATGTGTTTTGAAAAATTACATAATTTGGGAAGGATCCTAAAAGAGTATGACAACCTAAGTGGGAATTAGTGCCATTGGAACGTCCAAAGGGTCAAGTTTTGCTTAATTAAATAGGTGAGGCTTTTTCCCTTAAACTTGGAAAGAATGGTCTCGTTCTGTTGTATATTTTTAAATTGACCAGGGCTCTTTTAGCTCTTACATTTCTAACTCTACAACTCCGCCACCTTTCTGCTTCTATAGGCTTCCTGTATAACCTATAATCTTCACTGAAGCAACACATTGCAGTCTATTTACTACCTCTGTTTACCAGTGACAGAAACCCCAATTGTTATTCTACAATTGGGGTAGAATAGCTACCCCATTGCTTCCTCTGCTAATGTTTCAAAAGAGAGCATTGAAAAAAATCTTATAATATGCTAACCTATTTTCAAACTGTGTTAACTTTTTCAAAATAGGGACTCCATAGCTAAGAATTTTATTAAAAATTATATGTATGTAAAATTTGACATGCATATAAAAAGTACTAAAATATACCCATATTGTTTTAAACCAATAATAAATACTTACGGACCTTATATCTTATGGTTGTTTTTTTTTGGCCAAGACGGAGGAAAAAGAACAAGATTTGTACTTCTGGCTGAAATAATCACCCACTCCCACCTCCCCACACACAATAAAATATATGAAAAAAATGGTTTTCAAGGAACTGGATGTCAGGAAATGAAAGGTTATGATCTGTGAGGAACAGGCACTGAACGAGGCAAGACATAAGTTTGTTCCAGCATAGTGTTTTGAGAGAATGTCCAGGCCATCACACAAGGAGGAAGAAACATGATAAGCAGAGAGAACTCTCTGGGTTGGGAAGAAAGTCTGGGGATAGCAAGGCAGCTGGAGTTCTTAGGATAGAGCACCCAAGAGCACTTTAAACAAATAGAAACGAAAATTTTAAAAATAATACACGCCATCTACAGTGGTGTCAAATAACATCAAGGGGTTAGGAATACATTTAAAGAAAAATTTAGTGTACTTCTGTAAACTAGTATGTATTCACTCTAAACTAATATGTATTATTGAGAAAAATTTAAAGAAGATATAAATAAATTGAGAAACACTCCATATTAATTGAATGGAAGATTTACTATTGTTAAGATATCAATACCATAAATATCACCACTACCAGAAGGACTCAAAAAAAAAGAAAAAAATAGATAACTCTAAGTGTTAGTGAGAGTGTAGAGCAATTAAAACTCATGCACTGCTGATGAAAATATAAATGATTAAACAACTTTGGAAAAATGTTTGGCAATATCTACTAAAGCTCATCATATACATTCCCTATTATCTAGCAATTACACTCCTAGATACACATTTAACTAAACTGCATACATATGTCCACTAGAAGACATGTACAGGAATGTTATAGTATCTATTCATGACGGCTAAAACTCAGAACTATTCACATGCCTATCAAGAGTAAAATATACAAGTAAATTGGAATGTACTCTCACAGTGGAATCCCACACAGCAATGAGAATGGATAATCTAATAATATATGCTACGAAATGGATAAATTTTATACCCATAAGGTTAAGTGATAGAAGCAAGACACAACAGAAAACATACTATGTCATTTGATTCCTTTCAACATATATACAAAATTAGTCTAGGCAGTTACCTTGGGTATAAGTGACTAGAATGGAACATAAGTATTCTGGGTGCTGATGATGTTTCTGTGTATGGGTTAACATGGGTCCTCTCAATTGTGAATATTCATAAAACAATACATTTGAAATATGTGCATTTTTCTGTATCCAATATGTTAATAAAGTTTTTAAAAAATATGTGATATCCAAAGTGTCAGCTTTGTATGACTCTGTAGAGAATACTACATCTTGGAAACTCTAAAACTATAAAATGTTTTATAACCAGAAAACAAAAAAAAAATAAAGCTAACACAGTCCTCCAAAAAGCAGCAATTTTAAATCAATTGCTATAATGATTGCTACCTTGACAAATATAATTTCACACATCTATTTGTTTTTTTGACAACCTGTTTTCTCTTTTCAAAATTGCTTCTTTTCTAATTATAAACCAATACATACTTACTGTGGAAATTCAAGAAAGAACTATGGAAAGGTAAAGGGAAGATTATAGAAATCGCTTGTATTAAACACAATGTTTTGGCATATACCCTTTCAAATATATAAGTGTGTGTAATTAAATTTTCTATATTTATAAATATATACAGTTCTGGTGTTCCCTCCATACATTAGATAACATATTCTATATTTTATTGTGCTGATTTTTTATACTAACCATTATGATATGAGTATTTAAATGTAATTTTAAAATTTTCCAAAACACAATTTGAATGGGTCTAAATAATCTATGATGTAAATACACTAACTTGTTATTCATCTTATTATTTGTGAGTATTAATTTTGCTTCCAAATGTTTTATTATAAGAAACATTGCAGTGAACATCTTTGCACATACATCTTTATTAGTACTGTTTACTTAGAATAAATTTATCGAAGACAAGTTGTTAAGTTAAAATATGTGATTTGTTCAAGACTCTTAAAATATATAAATATAGCAAAATTACTTTGGAAGAATTGAGACCAGCATGTATTCTTAGTAATTATATGAGAATTGTAGTTTCCCTGAACCTTTACTAAAAATAAACTTTTGCATTTGTTGTTTTCTATATTTGCAATAATTGCTTGTTAGACAAAAAGTATGTCTCACTGTTTTAATTTTTATTGGATTTTAATGAAAATAAATGTATTTTAGTCATTTGGATTTCTTATTTAAGCATTGTGTATTAGGGTGAGCTAATATCAAGTAAAGTCTGAAATAAAC